GAGATCTGAAGGAATCAGATTCCGGCGACTACACCTTCACTGTCAAAACAGGACCAGCAGTATCCTCAGTGACAAGGAGTCTGCTTGTACTGCCTAGGCAAGGTCAGTTTTACCATTAAATCATATTATTCTCATGTGTGATGGACGTGTTACTTCTCCTTATTACTTAAAGTGAATCACGTGATACTTGTAAGCACTATAACCACGACGGCAACTAAACAAATGCTGCTAATGATCAACACGTTACTGCGTCTGCGTATGTTGCTTGCGCTTATGCTTGCGTCGTAAGTGTGAACCAGGCTTTAGCCGTCTTCTGCAAAACAACAACGTGAACTGTCGAAATTCTGGGTGTTTGGAGAACGTGAACCGCAACGGCGAATTTTTAGATTAGAACGCTGTCTGTACATATTCAGCTGAGGATAGATCTGATACCGACAAACTAAAATTGAACTAGAGATTATATTTGCGAGATTCTGAAGTAAAATATAAATTCATTTTTTAATCCACGTTGTCCTTGGCGTTGCTGTAGTAGTTGCTTAAACTTAATATCACGTGATTAGTACACTACCCGCGTGTCAACTATGCCTCAGCTATCAATCCTCGCCGTAATCTTCGTCCAAGACAAAGTCTGGTTTTGCCGATACATAGTACCAGTTGATGACGAAATTCCACCTACGAGACGGAACTGATCCAGCGGTTTTTCGTCCCCGAGGTTGCTAGGCAACACGACGAATCCTTATTGCGCTATGCTGGCTCGATTGCTTTCGGTGTACTCGTGAGTGCTCGCGCTGTTTCTTGATTGGATAATGAGAATCGGAAACTCTTCGAGTGCTTCAACGAATAATCTTTTCTTCGTCTGTTTACTCAGAAAACGCTCTTTATATCAGTTTAATCGCTGTTTTTATTTTTGTTTACAGAATACGTGAACTATAACACTACAGTAACTGATGATACGCTAATATTGGAAGCGACTTCACCACCTTCAAGCAGAGCGCCAAGATATTGTTATTCCTTTACAATCCTGTCACACATGTCCTGTCTTTTATCATGGATAGCTTACAATTTATATCAATAAACGTTCATTGTGTACCATTCGTCATTGTTTTTCGTAGCATCAACTCACGAAATACTGTACTGTAAAACGATTTTAAAATCTATCTTTGTCCTGATTACCCTCGGGGAGGGGGATACAACACAATGACCCGGCCCTGCCTCGAACCGGGTCATTGTGTTGTAATTGCCTAGGGAGGGGGGTACAACTCAATTACCCCTGCCTTGCTTTAGCCAGTTTTTGAAATGCAAGTTATATGGAATTTTGCAAGCTAAGCCTTCAGTTTGCATTTGGTTTAGTTATCAGTTACACGAGATATCCATAGGGCGCTTAGATTTCGTATTTGTCTTCGATCGTTGAGAATCGCCAGACTGGACTCGCGCTCGTTTCTCTCGCGTTCTTTGACTTCTTCCTTCCAGATTTGCGTTGAGAGAATAGAGAGGCTGTGAACAGTCTAAGATTTCCGTGGAAGATCCAACTTATTTCAGCCTAAATCCTTGTGTTTTACTGAAATATATATGACATGAAAAAAAAAAAATGAAAAATTGTAGATTTTATTTATGCGTGAAATGTAATCATATTTTACTCGTATGTATTCTTAGGTTAATTACTTGTATATATGTACCGTATGTTACTCGTATGTATCCGTATGTTACTCATACTACTCGTACTACTCGTGTGGATGTGGTGTCTTAGTCATGATCGCGGACCGCTCCATCCCGAGTCATTATAATAAATTAAAATATGTTAGTGTCATTACAGCTGTAAAATTGAGGGCCATGCAAAAGGAACCAAAATAAGATGAAAATAAATTTATGCCAGCAAAAAAGCATAGTATGGTTCCACGTACGCAGACTTTCTTTTAGCCTGCGTCGCAGACGGACTTGACCTCCGGTAATGTCCGTCTGCGAATTAGTGCACAAATCCTTGTTCTGGACCCCCAACGACGTAACGAAATACCGGAAGGGCCTTTCGAAATCCCCTTTATTCTGATTGGCTATGGTAAAAGGCGTGACAGGCCTGTTCGAAGTTCGTGACATTTGCCGTTCTCTATTGAATTCGGTCTTCTGACCTACTTTGAATTGCCCTTCAAGAGTGTTTCTAACGGGCAAGATATGTTGTATTATGAGGAGGATTTTGAAGTAGAATAGCTATAGAGCCTTCGACTGTGTTCACTCTAGCAAATTTTAAGAGGTCACGTTTGGGTCTCCTGTCGGGCAAACAGATATTTACAACGCGTTAGTTTAGACAACAAACACTCGGCAAACCGAACAAGGTAGTTCCCATTTAAAACCTGCTGAATAGTTTCTGGGTCTTCCAAGTCCGTGATAGCATGCAATCGCCAGTATACCCATATTGTTGAAATATATAAACTTGGTCCTCCATCAGCGATCGTAAAGGTGAAATCACAACAATAACACTCGATCGTATATCAGCGACTGCGACAATCGCGAGACACTGAAAGATCAACGACTTTCCAAAACCTGTGGGTAAATTGATAAACACGTTTTTCCCCTGGAAGAAAGATTTGATCGCTTCTCGTTGTTCTGGGAGTAGCTCCGTTAATTCAAACTGAGCTTTCTCTAACCGCTTCGAAAGCTGCACTCCATTATATCTTCAGTGATTTTCTTAATACTGTACTATTTTTAGGCTCGCTTTCCGCTAGCTTCCGGTCCTAGCTCGCATGATGATATTCCCTTAGCCAATCACAACCAAATCATAGCTAATTGAACAATAGCTTTATGTAAAGGCCAATCACAGACAAGTACTCAGATCCTGGTACGTCGTTGGGGGTCTAGAACAAGGATTTGTGCACTAATTCGCAGACGGACATTACCGGAGGTCAAGTCCGTCTGCGACGCAGGCTAACTTTCTTTGGGCTCGTCACGCAATTACTTCTTTGCATAAATTATGCATTGTTGTCAAGATTTTATTGTTGTCATGGTTACAACACTGTCAGATTCGTCCGCTGACAAATTGACTTTCGGCTTTGCTCAGTTTGTGTTTTGAACAAATTCATTGCGATTTCTTTGACAATTTCATTTGCACTTTGCAAAGAAAGATGGCATTGACAAGGCGAATGAATACCGGAAGCTCAAATCCGTGAACATATGTCGAAGCGGTTTTTATCACAACGTCGCATTCGAATGTGTTTACTCGCGTGACTCGAAACACAGCTGTGAAGTTTACTTCAGCTTTACAACTCGCGCAGCTGAATTAGAACTGAAGATTACAATCATTAGAATCACCACATGTATGGATAAGATATCTTCGATCGCACTTTAACGACAACATGAGCGATGCACAATTGGAAACGATCTGTATCAACGGAACCCGACCGCCATACAAGAGACCTGCTTGGGTTATCGGGCAAGTGGAAGCGAGGATGTACAACGGAGAGCGCAGACTGCTACGCCGAGAGAATCAAGAGATCGACAGAACCACGCATCAACCGACAACAGAAGACCAAAGTAAGTGTTTAACATTTCGAGGATCGAAGTTGTTAATGAAATTAAGCATTGTTTACCTTTCGAAATCAGAAGTGTTTATTGTGCTACCGTTGCTAATCAAGGATTGTGTTATTTTAAAATACACACATGTTTACTTTTAAATTAAGTTTAAGCAGTGGCCACAAACTAGGAGATTTTGGGGGCTAGTTTCTCCGTTTTGAGACACAGACAATGAGTATTAACTCAATTGATGCTAATGTATTCCAGTTGCACATTGAAAGCTGTCGATGCATTGCAATGTACATCTAGAATGTATAAAGAACTTATAAATGATTAATCATTAACATCTTTGATAACATAAACAGTCAAATTGAATTATACAGCCAAATAATTTTACAGAGCTTTTTAGTTAACCATTTTAGTTAACCTTTACAGCAAAAACAACAAAGGAAGAGATGCATGTAATAAATGTTTTTGTGCACAGCATGCAATAAATCTTTTGTGCACAGTTACAGTATAGTGATCATGCATATATTATCTTAGTCAATATATTATTATTGTCATAGGAGAAACAAGGGAAAAGGAACTTTACCACCATTGTTAGTTCACTTGATAAATAATAATTAATTTACGACAACTGACAAAACGTTTTCAATGTCTATACATGTAGCTTGTCAACTGTCTCAGTGCATTGTTTGTTAAAAATATGAAATACATGTACAGTACTACATGTATACTAGGGGGTTAGTCTTGCAGTTCATGATTTTGTATGTATGGTCATGCACAATTACAGTAACACGTCATATTACATGACTTGTAATATCTCCCCAAATTTACTTGTGGATTGGAATTTCTAAATATAATGACTTTTTCTATAATTATTTTTTAGATCAACTCCCAGTCGGTTGAATGTCAGCTTTAATAATTCTCCAAGAGCAAGGTTGGTTGTGAATAAATTTAAAAATACTTTGATGTACACTTACTAACAGGGCCAAAGAACGCAACACAAGGATGACATGCAGTGCGGTTCAAACAGCTCAGACTGTTGACTCAATATCCAAAGTCTAAAGGCTGGGGCACACTAGGCGACAGGTCGCAGTGAAGACCTGTCCCCTAGTGTGCACTGCATCAGTGACAGTGAAAATTTTCGTCATTTTGTCAATGTCACCTGATGCACGAATTCAAACCAGTTTGAATTTGTGCGACCTGTTGCAGCGACAAAATTATGTCGCAGTGACAAGGATTTGTCATTAAAACGGGCATGTCACACGAAGGGAATTGTTGCTGCGACCAGTCGCCGAGACATGTCACTGCGACATGTCGCTTAGTGTGTCCTGGCCTTAATGCTTCAACAGCCTCCCAATAAACCAATCAAAAAAAAAATTCATAACCTTCATGGTTTTAATTTATTTTTACAAACAAAAAAGGAGTCATGCTGGATCGAAAACTTTCAAACATAATCAGTAAGCTTATGTTATTATGGCCTAAGTTCACAGAGGTCTCTGTAGCTCAGTGGTAGAGCGTCCGACCGGTATGCATGCGTGTAGGTTCGACTTCTGTTGGGAGAACTCAGATTTTTTTCCCAAGTAGCTTGTGTCACTGACTGATAAAACGTACGTCTTTCTCACATTTCTACCAAGCTTAAAAATTCACCATCATTTTATTTCTATACATACATGCACATGTACGGCATGATCAGTATGCATTGCAGTTAAAAAAAATACGGAAAGGTACAATGTATGCCTGACTTGCTTGAAGGTACATTGTAATATAATAAGTTGTTATAAATCAATTAAAATTTGTTTTAATTCGATACAATGATTTGTTATGCAGTACATGTATGTACATATGTATAATCTCCTGTATATAATTATTGTTGTATTTTAGATGTTCTAGATGGGGACAAGTGTACAGTGCAAGACACAGAAATTCACTAGAGGAACCCTGCAATGATGTACGTACTGTACAAGGAACGATGCATGCATAATTTATCATGTTTTGAACAATCATTGTTTGCAAAGTTTTATTTGTGACAATTTGTCATGTTTCTTTCCTTGGATAATATGACAATAACGTTAGCCCTGGTTATGTCTTATCAAGAAGTAAAGAGAAGATTAATGTAACAATAACAGATGACTTCTTCAAGGAAGGTAGTACCACAAAGGTTAGTTCTCTAATTCAAAGCATACATGTACAAATTATATATATTAGTAATATTTTTCTTTGTGCAATAATTATACTGTTTAAATTGTGCTGTTTTTAACTCTTTTAATAGACCATTTTACAGTTCTGTGAAATGTAACCAAGCCTCTGTATGAAAGCGAGGTTAGGGTGACCATGAGATGATAGAGATCAGAAACTAGTTTACATAATAACAGAATAATTTACATTTGAAAAGAAGGAAGGTTTGTATCACAACAAAGTCACCTCCAGCCTCACTTCTGTTCAAAGGCCTGGATTCTAAGCACACAACTGTAAAATGCTATTAAATAATTATTATTATTTTATTTTTTTTGCAGGCAAAGACAAGAAAAAAGTAAGTACAAAAGTGGTATACATGTATAATGTATTTCTTGTAGTTTAAAATGAATTTTAGGTCAAAATTATCTCAAACTAGTTTAATTTTTATTTTCCTTTGTTCCAGATTTATTACCATAATCCTAAGACAAAGAAAAATCAAAATCAAACTAGTTTGAAATCATTTTAACCTAAAATCATTTTAAACTACAACGTATTTACTGGATAGAAAAAAATACAATATTGAAATCATAAAAATAGTTAGACTAGTTTTTAGCAAAGTGATACAAACAATTTTTATGTTTAACTTGCAAATATTCTCATTATATTAATTATTTATAATAAATTACAATGTATATTAAACAAAATGTTAAAAAAAATTAAAATTAATAGTTCTGAATAAAAATAATTAATTAATTCTCTTTAACTACATGTAATACTAAATAAAAATTATATATGAATTAATTATGTCACCAACTTGATAAATAATAAAGCAAATTAAATAATCAACTACATGTAGCTATGGGATCTGAAATTTAAATTATAAAAATATTTTTATACAATGATGGCATTACATGTAATAACCAAATAATCTGCCTAAAAAAAGTTAATGTACCGGCCTACAATTAGGTATTCAAAGATGAAGAATAATAAAGACATTGAAAACAATTTTATGCCATATTATCTGCCTCACCCGATCAGGTCAGTGAAATAAAATAATAAATTAATAATAATGTTATGGATAATTAAATAAGTAAAATTATTTTTTAACATAAAAGTTGTATGTACATGATGACGACCCAATTAACACTTTAGTCAATTCTTCATGAAATATTTTAATTTTTGTTTCATTGAACATTTAGTACTTGGTTTTCACTTTAAATAATAATTATTAAATAAATAATAATAATTAGTACTTTGAGGCTACAGTAGTATAGAGATATATTCTACTGGCATTAAAATATATTTAATATTACATTATCTATTAGTTACATTCCAATACACATGTACATTGTACATGTAAATGTATTATCAAACCATAATTAATGTAAGTTTGTTTGATACAACAATGTATGTAGTACATTTAATATTTATTTGGATTTCATCAAATTTTCTAATACATTTGCAATGAAGTTAAAAGAATAACGTTTGTTTTCTTACACTACAATTTTGTACACAAAAAATTTTGTACATGCTCTGACCTTCCTGATGCTTGACTAATTGCAACCTAATCATATATTGATATTGCTTCATCTTGTTTATTTATTTTTTTTCCAGATCACAACCTCCTGATGAAAAGTAAGCTAACTTAATTTACAAATTATATATATTACATGTATATATTTGAGCTGTTTGTGTCAATTTGTTTGCGTCATGCAAAGTATTTTTTCTTTTTAATATGTGTGTAGGTTGATTTAAAAATCAACCTTGTCAAACCCAAGGTGAAGCTAGTGCAATGGTAGAGCCTAAGAACACTCAAAGGCATTTACGAAATGTAAATGATTGTTCAGGGGTGTTTTATTTTTGTGCATAAAATGCATATAGTTCTTTTATAATTCAAATCTGATATAAAATATTTATTTTGCAAATTACACAGGGACATAGTAATTCAACAACTTCGTCAGCAGATTGATGACTTGACATTGTTTTTGGAAGAAGAGAGGCTGAACCACAAGATGAACCACAGAAAGGTTAAAAAATAAATGACCTCTTTATGAAATACAAACGACTGGAAATATGTTGATATATTCTTTTGCTTTTTTAATCAATTGTTTCATTGGCTAGGACCTTTACAATTATTTTGTTGTATTATTTTTTATAGACTGAAGAAAACCACCGTCTTCATATTGAACAGATACATGATGAACACAGAGAGCACATCAAGTAAGATATTGGATCAGTTGATTATTAAGCATGTTCAATGTACCTATAATTATTGTTTATTAACTTTATTTCTTTTTTCACAGATCAGTAGAAAATGACCACGATGAAGAAACAGAGAAGTTAAAGAACTCTTTTGAACAGCAGGTGATTTGAGTCTAAGATTCATGTTAAATGTCACGATATTTAAGTCATTTTTCTGATGTACAAAATCGGCTTTCAAGTTGAAGAAAACCTAGAATGGTAGAAAAACACGAAAGAAGTAATAAAACAGGAACAAACAGGAACACACAGCAACAAGGATGGTAACACTGAGGAAGATTAAGACGGATTGCAAACGACGAACTTGAAAAAAATTGGCTAATCTTTAAAGATATGCTATCCGTCATGTACAATGTGGCTTCTTTAGTCTGCTTATTAGTTAATTATTTTGCGATCTTTTACTTTTGTAATAATAGTTACTACGTTGTAAACAGCAATAAACAATTGTTAATTACATGGGTAACACTGTACAAGAGTGAAGAGAAGTTCATCTTTCTGGATAGTGTGAACTTTTGGTGTCTGATTTATCAAATCAATTTGTCCTGATGTAGTATGGTTGTTAATATACAATGTAGGAGTTAAAAGGCGAACAAATCAAAAGGGAACGGAACGAAAAAACGTTTACGGCGCTGGAAAATTCGAACGAAATATCGTTGAGTGCAAACGATATTTCGCTCGAAATTTCGTTCTGTACCGTGAACTTTCGAAGCGAATTTTCGCCGGAACCTACCGAAATTTCGCTGCCAGTCTTGAAATATCGATGAAACATTGTTTCAAACGAAAATTCGCGTAATTTCGTCGAAAACCGTCGAATTTCGTTTGCATTTACTTTTGCACAATACTGTACCAAATCATGTTGGGAAAAATATAGCGATACTCGCGTCATCAGTATGTTTTAATTTTAGGGAAAATCAAATTTGTACTTAGCTCTTACAAATAAACGTAGAAGATAAAAGGATTACTGTACTTCTGATTTACACACTTGTGGTTAATACTTACATGTCTTCTAGTTATGCTGTAATAATCGTTTTAACCGAATTCCTTCATTAACTCCAACAGCTTCGTGACGAAAGAAGAACAGCTGAAGTGGCAAAAGGTACGAAATCAAAATACGAAAGAAACATGATGTTGGCCAAAAACGTTTGATCGTTCAGCCGAGGCTTTAAGTTTGTCCAATGTGGCCGAACTGTCCAGGAACTGAATTCGTAGGACGGAGTTCAAGTCCAGATAGACAAGCGAAAATTCACCGTCGTGTGTTCACGTTCTCCATGAAACCTTGAATTTGGTAATTTCACTTTGTTGCGTTGCAGAGGACGGCAAAGAAATGTACCAAAAAGTAAAACGCACGTGCAGAGCATTAAACCATTAGGCCACTGCGGCTAAACCGGCTAGTAAATATTCAAACGATGTTCTTCACCACTCACGTAAAATGATGGATAGAATGTTTGAACAAAGGGACAGCTTAACCAACACGATGTTGGATGAAAATGGTTGATAGTTTAGCTGAGGCTTAACTTTCAAATTTAAAACAAAAATACTGAATGCCAGAGAGGTTACCTCAGTGTCGATACATGTAGTTTTATTTTTCAATCTCCGGTCCAAGTAAATTCACCAATAGTTGCAAGGTTTTCTATGTGTTAACTCCAAGGAATTATATGTCATTTTTTGTGATGTACAAAATTACCTTCAAATCGAAGGAACCTCAAAATTATAGTTAGAAACAAAAAATGACAACAGAATACTAATAAACCAAACAGTAACAAGGATGGTTGAGATTGGGAAGATTGAGACAGATTACGAACAACGAATTTTTCAAGATGCGCCATCCGTAACGTACATGTAAGTCCCGGGGGGGGGGGGGGGGGGGGGTACTCCCAAATTTTTTTGGTGGGGGTGTGCGGCCCGCTTCTTGAAACCCTTACCCTATTTCAGACCAACATATGTGATTTTTGATACCCTATTTCAGACCTGACCCAAAAATCGATACCCTATTTCAGACCTATAAAATTAGTACACTTGTCTAATACATGACTTCAGCTACACAGGAATGGGTTCATTTTGCGCAAACATTTGAAAAGGGCTTCAAATTCCCCGATGTTAATGGAAAAAAACAGTTTCGTCTAAAAGC